GTAAACGCATTACCTTGAAGTTATTATAATTATATGTCATTTGCTAAATATTTGTCTAACTATCCGATTGGTTCAAGTCATTTTCGAATATTTTATCCTCCTCAATAAAGATAGAAATACTTAGGAGTTTAATGTCCTCAGAAAAGACTAGTAATTTACTAATTACGCTTCTATCAATATCATTAATGTAAATATGAAAAGCAAAAACCCAAGCATCGATCCTTGAGGCTTTCCACTTGTAATAAGGGTTCAGCTGAACTAAACTCTACTAATAACAATATTTTGCTTTGTTAAAATTATAACATTGTAAATTCCGAATATGATTTTTTTATTGTTTTACGCATTGTATTAAAATAGCTTGGCTTTCCACAGTAAATGGAACTGGATAACTTTCGTGTCTTGGTTCATTAAGCTATATAACTCTCCAAGTCTTGAGCTATTTGATGTACGTATTTGCATAGTAAAACATGCATAACAATGATAATATGAAAAATAAAAATTAGCGGCAGAAGCTTGTGGCTTAGGGCTAAATTTAACTGAAATTTTATGTTTCTAATATTGCGGAAATATTCACAGGGGGCTCTGACATTAGCTTCACCTTCTGGAAGGTCACACACACTCCTTCAAGTTCAACTAACCGGGTTTTGTATTTGACATAATAAAGTAGTTCTTTACAAGCTCGGCTAAGTTTAACTTATTGAGTTACTACAATATCAAATTCCGTAATTGAAAGTATAGAATATTATAATATCTATACCTATTTTCTTTAAGCATGGCTTTAAACAAACTTGGAATCGATGCACTTGACTTGAAAGGTAAAAGAGTGCTGATTAGGTAAGCTCACTTCAAGTTCAACTTTAGTTTTCAAGCTGAGAAATAGAACTATAAGATGATTACGGGTAGCATACTATTACTATTAGTACTATTACTAACTAAATAGTAGTAATATTACTACTAATAGTAAAACATGGAGGGCTACGAAACCGTCGAGAGCTAGCACAGCTCTTTAAGTATAATTATCAAAGTATTTAACTTCATTATGATACACTGATAGTAAAGTTTTATGAATTTTTGTATTATATAGCAAAATTACTGTTTACTGTGTATTACTAATACTATTAATATATACTAATAGAAATACAGCTAGTCAATTCCAACTCTATTGACCTTTGTAACGGGACTAGTAGTAGTATTTGGATGGAGAATTTTTATTTCGACATTTATTTACTGTTCTTAAATATTCTACTAAATTTTTATTTGCAGTAGCTATTACAAGTTTTATACTTTATATCATTCAAACATGTGTAATATATTTTTCTGCATGTAATTTGGTGACACCTTGAAACATCATGCCATACATTCTCTCACAAAACCAGTGAAATTATCAAATGGCGTGTTTTCAACATATGTCTGTATGTAGTTACATCTGAGTATTATTGTAAGAATTGGTTTAAAATTTAAAAATTGTGATCATTAGCTAAAAGTTTATAAATTATGCTTTGTGGTGAAAAACTAAGAGTGTTTATTTTGAGCTTCACATACAGAAAAATTGGTAAGAATTAAACTATTTTTCTTTGTAGGTTAATAGTTTAAAAATATATTAGGATGTTATGAAATAATTGGTTTCTACTTCATATAAGATATTTGTGGACTTGTAATATTAGGGCTCACACTGGGTTTTGAAAATAAAAGCACCAATAATATCAGAGGTTCATGATTTGCTACCATGACAATAGGCAAACCATTTGACAAAACAATGTGCGGGGGCATTGGAACTGGGGTTATTGTAGCACCTCCAATTTTACGTACAAGTTGTATAGTAACTGTAAGTTATATTATCTGCATGTCTAGCCAAGCACAAACACTTTGCAACTCCTTCCTTACACTGCTAGTGTGAATGTTTTATTTTTATATAACTTTTGGGATTAGTTGTTTTCATTGATTTTCAGACAGACACTTCTGTATCTTTTGTTTTACAACAATTTCTGTTTTTTATTTCATGATAAATATATATTTCATCTGAAGCAAATTGAGCTGTGATTCTCTGTCATTGTGATTACTCAATAAATAATTACAGTGTTAGCATATTGTTGTGAATATGTATATTGAGTTGTTCAATACTTCTAAATAAATTTGATTAGTTTTTACAGCTTTTTCTTTCTGAGTGTTATAATATTTTACAAAGCTGTTTACTTTTTTGTCATAATGTACTGTTTAATCTTGTATAATAAATTTTAATTTTCTCATTAGCTGTAATTTTTAGTGTGCAAATAAAATCTTGTAAAGATCGGGCCTAGTAGTGAAATGTACATCAAAATGTTGTGTTTGGTCAGTATATATTTAAAAATCACTTGAATTGTTATTATTGAAATATTAAACTGACAAAAATGATTAAATCTGTAATGTAAGTGTAACTAACTAAAATATTTTCCTCTTTCTCCAAAATATCTTTTGTAGAGTTGATTTCAATGTTCCATTGAAAGATGGGAAAATCACAAACAACCAAAGGTATGGTATATATGATAAAATAAATGTTTAATAATCCACTCAAAGTTTGTTTGTTTTGTTTTGAGAAAGACAGAATAAATCAGATTTGTGCATATAGAATGAGCAAAACATTACAAGTCTGCTAAGTGAAATTGTCCAGGGAATTGCTAAACTAAGAGTTCCTGGTTTCTTCTGTTATTTAAACAAGAGGACAAAAGTTTAAGATTTGGAAAAAAGACAGGTTCGGTTACAATTAAAACAGTTTTTCTAACAGGATTATTAATGAGTTGCCATTGGCAGTAAGGAAAGCTTCCACTTTACAACAGTTTAAGGTGAGAATAAATGACTCGAGAAATATGGTGTTTTAAACTTTTTTACATTTTCTCAGAGATGAGAATATAAGGAAGGACCATATGGTCAATTGGTGTTAATGTTATGTTATACCTTGCACATTAAAAAACGTCACTATTAATTAATAGTTAAAAGGTGAAACTTACTTATAACTTTAACATTTGAATTGTTTCCTAGGGCCCCACCAGTTTTTAAGTCAAATGTCATAAGAAGTAAATAAATGTGTGTGTGTGTGTGTTGGTATATATATACACACACACACACACTCCTGGTAATGATTTAATTCCAACCACGGATGAGTATGTACAATTTATTCTATTTTCATTCTATTTATTCTATTAATCTTCAGTTAACACTGCTGTGCATGATTCAACATTCTGATTGGATAATTCCTAAATTTTGGTTTATAGAAACATTCTAAAAATCCCCAAATTTAAACTTCATTTACTTGCACTTGAGCAGCATTGTTTAGTAACAATGCTAAGTTATTTTCATAGTGTCATTAAAACCCTGGTATTAAAAAAAAAACATCTCTGTATCATCATTTTGATTTAACTGTTGTTAAAGATACTTAAAAAAAAAACTAACCATATGAACAATATTATTTTTCAAGAAGTTATCAATTCCCCTTTTAAGATCTTTTAAAATGCAAATAACAACTCATTTCATAAGCCACTCACACTATTAGAAAAATCTGGCTTAACTGGAGCCTAGCCTGTATCTTCCAAATCTTTTCCTATCATTGTAAATAAATCTGATCCGTTATCTTATCGACCACCTGGATAACCTTGTAAACTTCAATAAGATCACTGCTATCCCTTTTAAGTACCCTATCAATCATCCAGATAGCACAACATTCTTGAAAAAGTTAATGAATTAATGAAATTTTATTAATTTTCTTACAAAGCTTATATTTTTTTGTGAATAATGGATATTGTGTATTTTGAATAAAGTTCTGTGAAGGTTATGATTAAAAAGTTACATTCTTATGGCACGGGTAAAATAATTCAAATGAATAGGAAATTGTATGCATCGTAGATGTTGTAAAGCTTTGATAAATATGTAATATTTTGATTGAAAAACATCTTGAATCTTATCTCCTTTTATGTCATTGATATCTTGCTTGGGCAACAGTTTATTCAAGCTTGCTGGATAAAACTTGTAATTAGTGTTTCTTTAAGTGACTTAATTGTGGGAAGGCGCTTTGATTAGTTTTAGATATTTGCAAACATATTGAACTATGGATTCTGTAATTATACAATTCACCGAGTGACCAGAGAAATTTTTCAGAAACTAGTTTATTTTTATATGTATAAAATTTTAGTTGAATATAAAAAAAAAAAAACACAACAAAATTTTACTGAAGAAAAATATGAAGTTCCAACTTTCAGAAATATCGACTCTTAGTTGTACCCACGTATTGTTGTTTATACATATCGACTCTTAGTTGTACCCACGTATTGTTGTTTATACATATCGACTCTTAGTTGTACCCACGTATTGTTGTTTATACATATCGACTCTTAGTTGTACCCACGTATTGTTGTTTATACATATCGACTC